TTTTTATGAACAAACAAAAAAAAACAACTTGTGTTTTGTTACTTTACCAAAAGTAACAAATATTGTTACTTTGTTAGTAGTAACAAGTAACAACTTCGTTACTTGTTACTAGTAACAAAGTAATCAATTTGCATCCGTTGTTACTAATTACTAGTAACAAGTAACAAATTTTTGTTACTTTACTTGTAACAGTAACACAAGTAACAAGTAAACAGCCACCTTTACTTGGCAGATAGTCCTGTAAGCCCATATTTTCCCTCATTTCACACAGATCCAGGGCCATTTTTTGTGCACAAGTAGCCATATATTGACTGTTTTATTGGAAAATGCGAAGGTGGAAAAGGATATGAGAAATCCTATGAAGTACGAAAATTCAGAAAAAGATAACCTATTTTCTCACAGAGAGCTACATGTTTTGAAATAGTTTCGTAAGCATTCGAGCGCGGTTTAAGTATACTTTGTGTAGTTTCGAGTGTGCTTTCTCTCATGGCATGCAACAAAATTTGTTTTGAGTGAAAATATCCGACGTAAAGATTGAATTATTGACAACCGGGCGAAAACAGCAAATGATTTGGACCTTATCTACGCGTAATAACAAAGGAAGTTCGTTTTTTGAAATCTTACTGATTCGAAAATATAGACTAATTATTGGTCTGCAAAATAGAAAAAAATTCAATCAGAAAGGAAGAAGTTTGACTAGACTATACTTGTTTTATCGAACGATGCAAATTCGTGATCGAAAATCATCAATTTTTAGAAAATTTTTCAAGAAACAATCGTTACACTTAAGCCCTCAGTTCTAACTGTAAAATGTTTTTAATCGTAAGTGGAAGATATAGCTTTCCAAGGCCTATACTATAGTCACTTCAGCCTTCTTCCTCCCACAAACGTTTAGCGAATAAAACTTAAAAGGCGGTTCTTTAACTTATTTTTTTCTGAGTTTTCGTACTTCACAGGATTTCTCATATCATTTTCTACCTTCGGCTTTTGCAATAAAACAATCAATACATGTTTTGTAGAAAAATGGACGCGCTATCTTTTAGTAAAAAAATTTGCTCGATTAATTACAAAGAAGAGGAGAAAAATTTAAAAAAGTAACGCTATAATTCTTTTTGAGCCAACTGTTAAAACAGTTGGCTCAAAAAGGTCAAAAAGGTTTTTGGTAGTGCCCAACCATCGGTCAAGTTGGGTCTAAGGTCCAGTAAATATCTACTTTCACACAATGTTTCATGTATAGGTTTGATCAGCGTTCAATGCTCGATCCACTGATGCATAATACTTCATTTAATTATTCGATCGGACAATACAATGATTGAAAAACCACTGTGGATATGCGTCTAGCGTCCTCTACGATCCGCCATTATGTGTAATCCTAAAATATCTCTCCACTCTCAGAGTGGAAAAGTATACCGCTGAAAACAGGAGCTCGAGTTCTATGAAATTATGTAGGGCACACATACCTTTTAAATAGAACCGATTTTGACAGTTAACGTTAGTTGAACTATTTAGTAAATAGTAATAACAGTACAGCGCACAAAGACAAATGCGCAGCGGCAAACGAACAAATTAAACTCTAGAGTTTTTCTAGTAGTAGTTGAACCGATATATGTAGTAGTTGGAGCGGTGAGGGTGAGAGGATTATCCAGTTGAACTATCTAGTAGGTACTAATAACAGTACAGCGCACGAAAGAAGCAAAACGAATAAATTAAACTCTAGAGTTTTGCTAGTAGTAGTTGGAGCGGTGGATGTAGCAGAATCAATGATAAAGCACTTGTTTCCCACAGTACATGTGACATTTAAGCCGAGATATTCTCCATACACTTTGACCTGCTCATCTGATATGATGTCGCAGTTTGGATAAATATCAATGAAAGCAGTGGTGGTTATGTTCATATTGAGAACTAAAGCCTGATCGGTTGCAGATGAATATTGAGGCCATGTCAAGCTAAAATTATCATTAGGTTGACCCTTTGTAATCATATTCGTCCAGTACTGACGAACAGATGTAGCCAAAGATAATTCATCTGCTTCAAAAATGCTGTTTCCATAAAGTGAATCCGCCAGTGTTTGGAACAAACTAAACAATTCGGCCGTATGATATGCACCAGGTCGAATCACCAAGTACGGTAACGACAAATAGATGAACTCTGGTGTATGAGTGTATGTGTAGAGATATGTCGGCTTTCCAGCCATATATCCAGCCATACGACGAGCACCACAGATAAAGCCTCCTTGAGACATTAAAGCCACGAATGCTTCTGAGTAGTTACCATTGAATTGACTTGGAATGTATAAGGCTTGAATTTGAGACAGATTATAGGTCGCAACTGGCAGAATACGGGTCAAGTAATCTTCAGCACTATTTGGTCCATGATAGTAATCTTCATACAGAACACGTAGGAGAAATTCATCACGATTGGCCCCCGTAAGTATGGGCACATGATTAAAAGCGCCTGACAAGAAAGCGTGTAGTGGATGAACGGGTATTTCCACTCCATCTACAATCAAACAGAACGGGGGCACCCCACCAATATTGATTTGATCTTTGAAAGCTAATACAGTCGATGGTGGAATGGACACATTGGCTGCAACAGCCACGAGTAGGTCACTACTGACATTTCGTAAACAGCTCAGTTGTTGAGCCGAGTCGTTCATGTTACAGCCAAGAAGCGAAGCGAGTTCATTTGCTGTCGAGTAAGCAAATTGCTTGTCGCGCAAATAGGATACGGTATCACAGGGTCCGCTTTCCAGTATGCCAGCGTGGAATAAACCATCCGATAATGGTGATACAATATGAATACAAACTGAATGAGATCCTGCCGATTGACCCATGATAGTGATCAAATTCTTATCGCCTCCAAACTTTCCAATATTATCCTGGACCCATTTCATTGCCACACGTTGATCAGTAATACCTTGATTCGCAATCGTCTGTCCATTGACATCTAATAAGGTCGATTGAGCAAAGAATCCCATAACGTTGAGTCGGTAATTGATGCTGACCATGATAAATGAGTTATTGGCTTGGATAGCAGCATTCGTCCAACTAAGTCCATCATAGATCACCTGCGTCGCGCTACCCTCTAAAAATCCTCCACCGTGAATCCAAAACATTACAGGATACCCCGTCGATTGTGCTGGTGGTGGCGCACGGGGTGCCCAAACATTCAGATACAAGCAATCCTCATCAAATGGGCCTGGAGTTATGCCTCCCCGGTCGATTTGAGGACACGATGGACTATAATGAGTCGCATTTCGTACTGTATTATTCTGCCCGTCGGTCATTACATATGACTGAGCTTTTTGCCATCGAAGCGCCCCAACAGGAGGGGCAGCATAGGGAATTCCAATCCAAACATTCGTCTGGCGAATAGTAAGGCCAACAAATTGACCCGACGTCGTAGAGACAATAGGAGAACCAATGGAGTCCTTGGCAAACAGATATGGACCACCATCTAACCCAGAGACTGTTGTGACAAGCAGAACACAAAACAGCCAAAGAAGAAACATGGCCTACAAACGATAAACAGTTGTCATAATAGACGAATTAATAGTGAATGTTATCAATCGAGTTAAAAGAGAACGTTATCAAGTGGATGTTGTTTTTGCCGCCCATCAGGAGATCGGTAAGCAAAATATTGACATAACATGTATGATAGTCATAACCAAGCTCCAATAAACCTAACTCAACATGAAGTAAGAGAACAGAAAGAGAACACACCTGATCAAGTGATTGAGAGAAGGAAGAAAACAGCGTTGTATATTTATGAAATAAACAAGCCCACGAGACATTGTACCATGAGTATAAAGGACACGGCGTTTAACACAGTAAATCGATAAAAATGTCAAAAATTCTAAAAGGGGGAAAAAGCTGATTGACACCGGACGCTTCCAAAATTTTCGAATCGATCGCTAGGAATTTGTCGAGTCAAATCTTTAAGTGTTTTATAGTATGTGCAGTATCCCCCCTTCAAAAGTATCCCCCCTCCCCTGTAATGCAGAACACCGTGATAGCTAAGGACTTCTGATTTTGTGTGGTGATATGTCTCGCTGAATGCTGATCAACCAGCAAGTTTGAGCGTCTTTTACATGGTGGTTCGTGAGATATAAGGTGTCCATTTCTTTTCCGTAAAATGTTAATATCTCTTGACTGAAGAGAGGTAAAAGTATTTTGTTTTACCAACGAGTAGCCACAACTCTTTATGTAAGAATATAACCGTGAAAACTTTAGCCAAACAAATGCGTACGTAAAACATTGTCAAGAAGATTTCACATTCATTCATGAATGACCCTCATTCTTTTTACTTATTTTGCGTCTATCGCAAACAAACGATACCATTGAGGGAGAAAAGTACAGTAAATATTATGATTTAGTTTTCTCCGGCATATTTGAGCTACATATTAGCAAAAAACACGGCTTCTTCACCGTCTCCTTTCTGCTCTATCTCTCTGCTTTCTAGTGTTTTGAATGTTTCTTTCTAAGCATTGTTATTTATGAGCAATTTAGCTCCATTTGTTACTAAGTTATTTCTCGTCCTTTCTAAGAAAAAACGCTGTACTTTTATGAAATAGCATTCAATCATCTAAAAGCAAGTCCAAGATTCAAAAACAGACTTTTAGCAGATGGACCACAATGGTCCACAATGGAGACTGCTTTTGAAGATAGATTCATGGACTATAATGATCCGAGTTCACTTAGACCATGATCCGATTTTTCAGATCCAGATCAGACCACTCGAAGGTATACCTGAGCGTCAAAAGTAAATGACTAGTTCAGTACTGTTGATAGNTATGAAATAGCATTCAATCATCTAAAAGCAAGTCCAAGATTCAAAAACAGACTTTTAGCAGATGGACCACAATGGTCCACAATGGAGACTGCTTTTGAAGATAGATTCATGGACTATAATGATCCGAGTTCACTTAGACCATGATCCGATTTTTCAGATCCAGATCAGACCACTCGAAGGTATACCTGAGCGTCAAAAGTAAATGACTAGTTCAGTACTGTTGATAGGTTTCAACTTCTTCGCCATTGGGTGGCGGTCAGTAATTCATAGTCATATAAAGTATTTGTAGTTATAAAAACCATGATACCAACGAAATAACAAATTTAAAAAAAAGCTCGTCGATCTCTTTCTACATGCATCCACTAACATCCAATAAATTCATCATCGTGATGGAATCTGAGCGATCACGTCAGAGCTGGGATGTAACCGAGAAACCGTTACCGATCCAGTGCTGGTTTGTTGGTCCGATCCAATTGACTGCCGATCTGCACCAGTTGGATATTCGGTGTCGGTTCCATTTCTACACAACATTGTACACTAACAGCTATTAAATACGATTAATGCCTACTAATACACTCTCAAAAAACAAGTGCCCCGTCAGCTATAAAGGCATTTTGTTGGACGATGAATGGGACATTCTGAGTGCCCTCCTCCGAGCACTTTCAAGCAAAAAAATGTGTCTCATCAAGAAAAGTGTCCTACTGTGGACTATTTCAAGTGTCCCATTCATCATCCGAGAGACACTTGTTTTTTTACAGTATATCCTTATGATTCTGCTTCTTGCAATCAGTCAGTCGTAGGTACCAATTCCATCTGTCTTTAACAATCACTTTTTTCTCCAGAGAAAACAGCTTAAATAAGTGTAGTGTATAATGTGGTGGATCAAATTCCATCAAGGTGGTGACTTTATTGAATTGAATGTTAGTGAGTGTTTGTGGAGTGAGATTGACGACTCTGATCCTTTAAACTTGTCAACTCTCCATTCCCAACATCGTTGAGTGCTAGTACCTGTTTACTAATATTCTCATTTATGTCGACGTTTGATGTCAACGTTCTTTCACTAGCTGGACCTGAACAGTGGATGACTAAACGTCGTGGACTATCCAGAGTCTCAAGAAAGCGCAAATGAGAAGCATCGTGGGATATTGTCGTCCTCGCCACAGGATCGAACGTGAGGTATCCGATTGTCCTTCCATCAAAATTTTAAAAACAAATTTTTGGATCCTAGGATGGTTATTTTTGAGTTTTAGCAATTTTCTATTAAACTTAGCGAGAAATTCGAATCTGATGTCAATTTTTTTCAGGAAAGCCAGTTTTTCAAGGCTTTTCATCAAAACGGTATGAAGGTTTTCTACAAAAAAACCTTCATATCTTTTGATGAAGACCAAATAACTATGGATCCTGGTGGTAGGTACCATGATGATGTGCTTCGCTCAATATTGGCTTTTTATAAAACCATTCCATTTCTTATGTTTCTGAAGGGGCCTGAACTTCAGTCGTTTTGTTTTCTTTTTTAATTTGCAGATGGTGCGGATTCTAACTTGATTACATTTGATGACAAAGCAACCTTGTCAATTATAGTGGTGGTGTTTAAAATACCCGATGATTATGCTGATTTCAATAGGGAAAATGCTTATGGTTTAAATACGTTTGCAAACAATCAGTGGCGCCATACCGGTTATTTTAGAGTATTAATAAGTGGAAATTTTGCACCATGGTGGATATGGTAATTCAGTGAAGATTAGTATAGATTATCTGAATACAGTTAATAATAATTCATTCATAGGTGTGTCTGGTTGGAATGATAATATTCAATTAACAATAATTGGTCAATATTCGTCTGTCTCATTATATAATACAACAATTACACTTCAGAAAACAGGATCAACATTAGCTGTTCTAAGCCGAATATATTAACATTTAGCACTTCTGTTAGTACATAATTTATGTTTATCACTTTAGTAAGTTTTTCATCCATAAAATTATTATGCTTTTTTTTCTCATGTTAAATTTTCGTTAATTCGTTCAGCTGCCATTACTACAACAAGTACGTATATCATAGTTTCGTAGCTGTTACTATTTTCAAACGATCAAATCATTTTAGTACCATCATCTAATACCACAATGATAACAACATCTTCACAAGGCAAGCAAACAGCCTCTAAACGGAAAAATTTCATTGTTTTTGTTTGTTTTGTCAAAAATTATATAAATATACTTTGTGTTTTAGTTGTGTAATATTTTACTCGGCTATGAAATATACACGTTTTTCACTTAATTTTGGCACAGAATATTACCATCGTGAACTTAATCTTTTAATAAAAACAGTTCAACTGTGGAAACGAAGACACTGTAACAGGTCTTCCATTGTATATTTCCTCACGATTACCACGCAGAGTGAGGCAGAACTAATGCTTTCGTAATTTTATGTTTTTCAGCATCTCTGTCGATATCTGAAACTTTAGAATCAATTCGATTTGATAGTTTCAGAGATATAAGTAAAGACAACTCCACACAATGATATAAAATGAAGAGAAGATTTTGGATGGAGTAAACAGAAACCATCTGAGCGAAGACGATAGAAGGGGGCACGAAACGAAATTCATACCATGTAGCAAAGACTAATAGACTGTTTCTCTAAAGAGAAGAATTTTGTTTAAACAGACCTATGGCCGCTTTTTCTATCTATTGAGTCAAAATTTAAAACTTACCTTTTCGAAAATGTCCAAGTTCGAATTCGCGGAAGGTCCCGGTCAAGTGCTTGGTCAAAACGCAAACAAAAAATTTTAAACTTTTGTGATGGATGAAAACTCATCAGACACTCTCATGAAACGCACATATGTTTGCGACTGAGAAAGAATCTGATAGACAAACGTTTGAAAGAAATGTATGCTCTTTTTAAAAAGGATTGGCAGTACCACACTATAATCTTGAATTAATTTCCGCTTTATAGAAAATCGACCGAAAAATCGCCGGGGATTTTCTAGTTTATAGAAATTCCTCGACGACTTTCCAGCTTTCTAAGAAATGTTGATTTTGTACTTTATAGAAAATCGATTTGAATTTTCATAAATTCGATTTTCTATAAAGGTGGAGAATCGCTAAGGATTTTCTATAAATAAATTTCAAGATTCTGGAAATTCGATTTTGATTTTCTATAAACTAAAAAATTCCCGTCGATTTTCTAGAAAATGGAAATTCGCTCAGGAATTTCTAGACCAAATACTTATTCATCGTTTTGTTTTGCAATCAGTGTAGTTATAAGAGCGTCACGTAAAGACACTCATATTACACTTAAATGAACTTTAACAGTTTCTACTTTAGATCACAATTCTGCCTATGTTAGCAATTCTGATTTAAGCAGAGACAGTGGTGGCGCGAAGTTTTGATAAGAAGGTCCCAAAATCGGAGACGTTCACCAGAAATTTCTCAAAATCATGAGCGAAGTCGTGCCGCCACTCGGTGCAGATCCGCCAAGGAAAATCAAAAAGGAATTTTTACTTTCTTGAAAATTATTTATGGAAATTCAAAGACAATTTTTTAGATTGTTGGAAATTCGATTTTCTATAAACTGGAAAATCCTCGAGGAATTTCCATAGGTACCTTTTGAAATTCGCCGAGCATTTTCCATAAATAATTTTCAACCTTACAGTATACTACTGGTTTAAAAAAAGACAAATAACGTCTGTTGCAGCGACCGAGTCAGGTCCCAAAGCTTTG